GATGACCCCCCCCTCCACCTCCAAACGGCCTCACGGAGCCCGGAGCAGCCGGGGGGCTCCATCCCCCCATTTGGGAATGAGCTGAAAGCTGCTCTCGCACGTCTGGGGGTTCGTTTTCATCCCCCCTTCTCTGGCTTTCCCACTCAAACCCCTCCAAGGACAATATTTCTTCTTCAAGCAAGAAAACACCGTCTCAGAAACGTGTGACAGCAGCTAAGCAGGAAAAAAAGCAAGAACATAAAATCAGTACAAAATAATAAAAATCAAGAATGCGTCTCTTATGCCCTAGAAATCTTCAGGAGCAAGAAAAAAATCACACATTTGGTTTGTTTTTACTGTAAATCTCGTCGTAAGAGAACCACACCGATGGGAAAAAACTAAAATACCTTTTTAGAGGAGTTCTAAACAAAATACACTGCTAATTTCTTTCACTTTTATTTTTCCCTGTAGCTTATTGCTTAGAATGAATCTGAAACACAGTTTGCATTTGCTGTCAAACCTGTTCAGAGTTTATATCGAAGTTTCTCTGGTTTCCTCATACAATATTATGCAGCTGCTTGGTTTGCCAAAACGAACAACCCCGAGACAGCCAGCGATGGTTCCACCACTAGCAGACAAATTGGTAACACTCATCCCTCCGCTGAAGAAAACCCCTCACCCCTCACCAAACTGCTGCCTTCCCTGTGATTCCCCCCGGGATCACAGGGAAACATTTTCCCCAGGAGGGATGGAGCGCTTTGCTCCTGTCTCCCGTGCTCCCGGTTTTTGGGACACCAGCTTTGCATTTAAGATGTGTGCAACCACCATCTGTCAGTGCGCACTGTGATTTTCTTCACCTCTGATTTTCAGGGGGTTTTAGCTCCTCTATCCCCCGCCCCCAGTCGAGGAGCGCTGGCTGCTCTAACCACCTCCAAAAATCTGCCTGAGGGTGTACTGAAGTGCCCAGAGTTGGCAACCGTTTCAGAAAATACTATTTGCAGGCAAAATTGTTAATTTTCCAGAGGATGAAGCTGAGAAATTGCTGGGAGTCGCGTTAATAGGTTTTTAAGGGGAAACATTATCTGCCTGGCTGCCAGTAATATTTCAAGATCTAGATGGGGCTGAAAGCAGGCGCCGAGCTCCCCTCTGGTTCATGTGCTCTGGATGAGAGCCCGGAGGCAAAGTGGGGGCGATGCTGACGCCCCAGCCCTGCAGAGGTGCCTCTCCTCCCAGCACTGACCATCTCACCCGTTGGGTGAGGCTGGAGGGGCTCCTTAATGAGCAGCCGAGAGGGAGGAGTAATTCTTGAGAGGTTGGGACTTCATGGCAGGGGAGAAAGATGAGAGGACATCTCTCTAAACTGTGGGATGGCTATTTCCACTTATGCCCAAATGATCACGGGGGAAAAAAGTTAGAGATCTCTTCATACAGTGTTTTTAAGACAAAATCTAAGCATTATTGCCAGCTGTATTTTCACAACTCTAAAGAACTGAAGTACTGTCCTAAAACCCTGGGCATCCAGCGAGCATCTGGGGATCCCGCAGGAAGCAGGAGCCAGCACGGGCACTGCAGGCTCTGCCAGTCTTGGCTTCACCTTCTACTTCCCTGCAGCCACGGAGCAGTGGGGACAGATAACCCACATCCAGAGCCTGGATGGGGACGGGTACCTCTGCTAAAGAAAAGAGCTGGAGAAAGAGAGGGGGATCTCTGGCTACTAACGCTGTCTTGGGCAACCAGAGATTCATCCTGGGGCTGGTAAAGGACCTAGAGCCAGTGTGGAAGAGCTGCAGACAGCACATCAAACCAGTTAGAAAATATTTGAGCAGTGTTTACTGTGGTGGAGGCATCTCCAAAGCAAATGCAGGACCAGAGCTGGGAATTCCCCCCCATTGATGCATTTGATCTCTTTTCCCCAGGGTAAAGTGGCAGTCGGCTCTTCCAGCCCCGTTGTCGCAGCTTCGTTACCAGCCCCATCCCAGGCCAGACACACACCCATCAGCGAGGGGGAGATCTTCAAGCTTCCAGGCAGGCTGAGTGAGTAGATGTTGAGCTATTAATGCTGCTTAAAAAAAGGAGTTCCCACAGGGTGGGACATGGTGGGTCCCAGGGACCATTCCCTGCTGTCAAGGGGGACAAGATGGACCAGTCATCAGGGTTCATTTTCTCTCTTTGGGGCATTTTTGACCTGTGAATGCTTAATATAGAGGGAAAGTTTGGTGGTGGAGAAGACTAGTATCCCACCCTGCCCCTCAGCAGTTTTGAAGATGGAGACTGAGTTGTTTCAGAGGCTGCCGCTGGTTTCAGGAATCCAGCCCTCACTGTGGAGCAAGGATGACGTGATCCACTGGCTAAGATGGGCTGAGAAAGAGTATTCCCTTCGGCAAACCGACGAAAGCAAGTTTGAAATGAACGGCAAAGCCCTGTGCATCCTCACCAAGGATGACTTCAGATACCGAGCTCCGAGCTCAGGTTAGACCGAGTGCAAGAGTGTTTCTAAGGACCATCCAAGTACAGCACAAGCTGTGGTCTGCTGAGAGGGACTGGACAGGTCCCAGCAGACCAGGCTTTAGCTCCGGTCAGTTGGGTGCTGGAGACAAGGACAACCCTCTTCCTTCCTTTAGTCCATCTGGACTGCAAATGCTTTGGGATGGGGAGTAACCTCTTAGCACAGAAATCTAAGCAACAACATCAACTGAGAGAGACTATAATGCAAAATCATCTGAGCAGACTTTCCTTCCCTGCAGGTGACGTGTTATATGAAATACTCCAGTACATTAAGACGCAAAGAAGAGCTCTGGTGTGCAGCCCGTTGCTGAACTCAGCCTTCAGAGAAGCCAGAAGCACAGAGGAAGGTATGATGGAGAATAGCAGCCATCCATCAAGCAGAGCCTGCCCTCAGCTACAGTGGGTTGCACACATTTGGGGTTTTGAAGCTCAGCCAGCTGAACCCATCCCACACTACCTGAGCAAGGCAAGCAGGACAGTCCTGGAGATAGCAGCCAGGTCCAACAAAGTCCAGGTCATCAAGGAAGTTTGTAGTGATGAAGCAGGTCTGCTCAGAAACAGGCCTAGACAGCACCAGGTGGGTCTATGATGACCAGGCAAGGCTCTGGCTACCTCAGGAAGTCTGTCTGCACATTGAGATCTGGATCAGGGAAGGTCAATAGCCAGGCAGAGGCACAGCCCTAGCTGGAGACTAATCCTCCTGCAGCACAGTTGGGAAAGGGTTGAGGAGCCAGGGCTGAGCTTAAATGGAGTTTCTGGGCCAATGGGTGGAGTGGAGAGAGGCCCCAGGTGAGGCTGGTCAGGGCCAAGGAGGCTTATTAGCACCCTCAGGGAGCCTAGGTAGGAGTTAGGGTGTGGGTAGGTTGGTATCAGTGGTTGGCTTTGCATTGAGGTGGGTCTGGGATTGCTTTCCTAAGCTCTTCTGCTGGCTCAGGTGTAGGGTGATGAACATCTTAAGCCCCCACAACAATTGACAAGGGAGTGCCTCTACTCTGGTGCCTTCTCCTATTCCAGCTTTTCTTCTATATCTGACCCTCACCCTACTTGGCATCTCCTCTATGGTCCATCTCCCTGGACCTTCTGCTCCTCCTGCCTTAGGAAAATCCCAGGCTTTCCTCAGCGCTTGCCTTCTCTGGCTGGGCTGGCACTAGGCTGATGACCAACCTGGGCTGTCCCTCCCCACCCGTCTCAGGGCTCTGGAAGTTCTCCTGGGACCTGCCATAATGCACCACAGGGTTTGTTTGTTCTTGCAGGGACAGACTGTAGTGCTGAGGCTGCCCCAGTTGCTGTTTCCTCCTGCCTGGGTTGTGCAGCACAGCCTGTCTCCCACAGCCACGCAGAGCCGCTGAACCTCTCCCATCACAGCTCGGAGGGCAGCTGCAGGGCACATACCATCTGCTCTTTTCCTACAACCCTGTCAGCCCCAGTGGATGGGAAAATTGCAGGTAAATATGAATTTATAGCCTGGTTCCTTGGGAAAATGAGATTGTGCTTTGTCCTGCCTGCCCATCTGTCTCCCTTTCATTTATTCCGTGCATCAGTGTGTGCTTCCCTGCCTCAGTTTCCCCACCTGAAAAATTGTAGTTCCTGCTAGTGTTTTGAGATCTAGCAATAAAAGTGCCATGCATGAGCTCTGGGCTCTTCTTGTATTTATTATCATTGCTAACACGCAATCCCGTTGCTGATTGACCCTCACTGGAGCATAGGTGCCTTAGTGGGAGCTCTGTGACTATTTATTCTCCACCAACGCTCAGACTGCAGGTTGCTGTGGGATTACGTGTACCAGCTCCTCTCTGACAGCCGCTATAAGCCTTACATCAAGTGGGAAGACGAGGAAGCCAAGGTCTTCCGGGTCGTTAACCCAAACGGACTTGCCCAGCTCTGGGGGAACCACAAGGTAAATGCAGTTGAGAACAAATTTGTCATTCCTGGGCTTCTGTACGTTGCCTTCATGACCTGTTCCCCAGAGCTGATGGCACAGGGACTGGGAAGGGTGAGACAGAGTGGGTGCAGGGCTACTGAGAGATGCCAACCTCCTGGTGATTAAAGAGGGAGGCTTTCTCGTCCCCTGGAAAGCAAACCATGATGGCTGTGGACCCAGATGCAAGTCTGGGTTAGAGACCCACACTGCAGCCTGCAATGCCCAAGAACCACCTCGAATGTCCCACATGTGGTCCTGCTGCAGACAGACCCAAACCAGGTGTTGGTGCTTGCTTTTAGTCAACCCCTCCCCTTCCTTCTTTTCTCCTTCCAGAACCGGATGAACATGACATATGAGAAGATGTCACGAGCGCTCAGACATTACTACAAACTCAACATCATCAAAAAGGAGCCAGGGCAGAAGCTGTTGTTCAGGTGAGATGAAGCAGATCAAAGAAACGAGCTGTCTGGGACAGGGCAGATGAGGCACGGGAAGGCAGTGGCCTCCAGATGTTGGCAGCTGCTTCATCCAGCAAGATCCTCCCCTGCAAACGCAACACCCCGGCGGGTTTGTGTCCAGGCTCTGTCCTGTGCAAGCCGGGAGCTGGGTCCCATCCGATGCCCCAGGGCCAGCACCCTGCCCTGGGGCCAGCACCCATCCGCTCTCCTGCACGGAGTCCAGCTGGTGCTGGAGGAAATGCCCCCGAGCCCAGCCAAGCTGGACAGGTCCCTCCTGCTCCCCAGTGACACCAGGTCTGAAGTCCACCTCCAGACAGAGGAAGGGGTGGAAGTAAGTCAGGAGCCTCCTGTTTTCAGCGCTGGCTGCTTCCCTGGGACTAGTTTGGACTTAAAATGCCAGCTCTGGGCCGATGAGTGCTGAGCTTTGTCTCACCAAGCTTGGTGCAAAGCAAGAGCTGGGATCCTCAGCAGGATGGCAGATACCCTCTGGCAAGCTCCAGAGCTCAGCTGATGAGGGCAAGGGCTCCAGCATTTACAGCCTGGTTTGGGGTTGGGTTTGGACATGCCCTTAAAGCCAGTAACAAATATATTGCAGGTTTTTGAAGACTCCTGGGGAGATCATCCATGAGAAATCCAGCAAACTGGAGCAGCTGGAGAATGAGGACCATGAGGATTTGAAAGAAGACCCACTGGAGGTTTCACTGTAAGGAAATCTTTGAAGGTGGCACTTGCAAGTGCATCACAGACAGACTTGTGCTCCGCTGGGAAGTGCCAGTGTCTCTTGCATCTCCTGGACAGAAGGCCACAGAGCTGGTCCTGGATTTCAAAACCTGCCCTGAGCCAAACCTGCCACAGCCAAGCCCCTGTGACATTTCTGGGGCTTCGTTAGCAAAACACACCCAGAAACTCTCCCCCAGCCCCGAAAGCACAGGTGAATGTGTGGGCTGGTCTTCTGCTCGCTTCTCTTCTGTCCTCTGGGAGGGAATATGATATTTTTGCTCTGTATATTTTGATGCTTGTCTTTAAGGTTTGAACTTGTTGGTAGACTGCTCCGTTCGTACAGTGAGACATGCTGAGCAGAGAGCACCGGAGCACGTGCTCCTGGTCAAACATCTACCGAAATGCTCTTGCGTGAACACGCTGCTCTGAATCTGAGCCATTTCCCCGATTCGAGAATGGACTTACGTTGCAGATATGCTGTACGCTGTAGTCTCACTGTCTCCTGGGGGGTTGCTCCTGTGATTAAGGGTGAGAGTGTGCTGAAATACCTGCCTGGATCAGGCCTGGCTGGACCTCCAGGCTGCACAGATGCCCTAAGCTGGGTCTCATTTTAACTCCTTTTCCTCCATGTAATGTGCTTTTTAATTAGCTGACTAAATGTGAAAAGAAACAAAGCCAGTAAGGAGTATGACCACACTCCTTGTCAGACACGTGGTTATTTGCTTTGAGTCCGAAGCAGGAATACCTGCAACCCCAGGTGACCTGGGAGGAACAACGTGTGTGTTAAATCTGAAAATATCCACTAATATTTTCAGATTGCTTTTCATTGAGGAAATAAAATCCGGTGACTGTGTAAGGTTGAAAATCCCACTTCTTGCTGGTTAAAGGTCTGAAACTGGGAAATCCAAGCTTTCCTCATTTAAAACCAGCTCCTGTGGGCACCCAGATCTTGTCCCCAAGCTCGGCGGCCCCTAAACAAGTCTGAGCTGCTCAGCAGCCGATGGGTGAACGCAGTGCAAACACATGGCGTTTTGTAGCTCCGTGGACAAGCCCAGGTCATGAAGCAGCATCGTCTTTCACGGCTGATAGGAAAAGGTGAGTTCCTTCCAACCTTAGTTTTGCACCACTGCAGCAATTATCCTGCTGCCTCGTATCTTTGCTTTGGACCCAAGCCCAAGCTGCCGTCTCAGAGCTGCATCGGCACCGCTTTTGGGGCAGCAATGCTGTGAATGGGTCTGGGAATTGTCAGTCATGTAAAAAAACTTCGGCAAGGGTTGGTGACTGAGGTTTCCACCAAAACTGGTTGTTGCCAACCTGAAACTACAGTCCCTTTTGCTGTAACTGGTGTTACTCCTCCAAAACTATTTTACACCCGTTAACTAGAGCCTGGAGATGCTGGTGGGCTGTAGCCTGCAAGAGATGGTGGTGGGACACGTGGTAGCTGGTTGGCAACAGTACGACACCTCCGGAAACACTGGCTGAGGAAAAAATCACCAGCTCGTTGGCAAAACGCAAGTGCTTGACAAGTCAAGTGATGGAGGAGAAGGAAACGAAAAGCTCTGGTGTGGTAAACGAGCATAGTGTCACAGCCTTTGGGAGGTCCTAGCTAGGAAGGGAGGCCAAAATCTCTGCTAGGAGATGGGGCTGGAGGTCACCCAGCACCCAGCCAAGCTGCAGCCTGGGGGTGCACCATAGCAGGAAGGTGCAGTGAAGCACCCAAGCCTCATCCTTCCTTCCACAAAGGGTGCTTTTTGTCCCAGAGAAGACTAAAGCCAGATCTTCCTTGGGGTGAAATCCAGCAGTGTAAGTCCTGTCCAGCCCTGAGGGACAGCTTTGGTGGGAAAGCAGACCTCCTTCCTTGGCCACTGTCCCATCCTGGCCCCGCGTTGCTCTTGGGATACACACCCATGGGTGCATTTTTCCTGACCTTCACCTAACAGACGTCCCCCCTCGCTTTCTTGCCGTGGAAACAGCCCTGATGATGCTCTCCTGAGCATCCCGTCACTTCTCCAGCCTGCGTGGTTTGTTTTGTTGGAGCAGGTGACAGTCGGTGACTGCGGTGCTTGTGCCATGCTCGCAGGGAGCGTGCGAGATGCCCTTTCCACATGTTTTTCCTGCGATGACTAAGGATCCTGTTGCACTTGGACGGGGATTTCCTCTCCTGGTTGGGAAGCTGCCAAAAGCACTCAACCCTCCTTGTCGTGGCTGTGCCACCGCGGCTCCGGAGGCATCTTGGAGGGTGAAGATCAAAGGGCACCTTTGCAAGGATGGGCTGCAATGACAAACTCTTTCCATGCTCCCAAGAAGCCCTCGTGTCCTTCCTGGGGTGATGCGTCTCTTTTCCCTGCGGTAAACAGAGGCGGGAGGGATGTAAACCTGTTGCTTTCCTGGAACTGGGACCCAGCCCCTTCGGTAAACAGCCCAGTAACTGCCGCTTGCGCCGGGGTGTTTGGCGTGGGTGTGTGGGGAGGGAGAGCACCCAGCAGTTCGGTGACTTTTGCCCCATTGCCAGGGGCGGTGGCACGCAGGCAGGTGCCCCACGTGGACTTTCCTGAAGGTTTGCAGGTCCTTCGTTCCCTGGAGGTCACCATCCTTGCTTCAGCAGCACCAGGTCTGGTGGTGGTTGGAGCAGGGTGTTGCACAGCAGCAAGAACCGTGCGTGCCCGCTGCTGCCTCGCACTGCTCCTCTGCTGAGGGAAGCGGCGAAGATCAGTCCCGGGGCTGGAGGAAAAGAGGATTTGCTTTGAGGGCTGGTGCTCACCACCCTCTCGGATCAGAGGCACCAGACAAGTGGGCTGAGAGGTTTCCATTGAGGCCACACCGCTGCCACATCGGCTGTGCCGTCTGCCCAAACCGTGGCCGGTGCGGGGAGCAGTGGCTGCCCCTCAACACTCCCATTGTGGTTCAGATCTGAAACTGGAGATACTTTTGTGCCCAGGTGGCTGGTGTTGGCTCGAAGGAACCTTTGTGGTCCACTTAAAACACAACTGCCTCCAACACCCAGTCGGATTAGCTGTGGCTCTGGCTAGCCAAATCTTGAAGATCCCCCACCCCTCTGGACACCCATTTGAGGTTGTCCCAGCCTCCTGCAGAGGAGGCTTTTCCTGACGTCCAACGTCCCAAGTTGTGGCCTGACTGTCTTGTTCCCAAGAAATTTGGGTGTGTTGGCTCCTGACTTCTCCTGAGCCTGTTGTAACCCTCCGCACCTCGCAGCCCCGTGTGAGGAACACCTCTCCCTTGGTTTTTTCCATCTTCTGGAGCAAGTTCCTGTAAACAGGCCAATTACCCCCTGCTGTGTCCATGTGTTTTTAGTTCTGCTTTTCCTTCCAACGTTGCTGGCCTGAAGATACCAACCTCGGTGTTGTGTGCTCCCTCCATGTGACCGCGTTTCCAGCCAGCTTCCTCATTCTCTATTGGTATTGATGAGAAAAGTGGACAAACTGGGATCCAGATCTCTTCCCTTAACTCTGGCAATGGGTTTTTGGTTTGTGTTGGGTCTCTTGCAAACATCTTTTTCTTATGCCTCTCTCCCACTAGGTTTTAGCATGTCCCAAATCCCAGAAGGGACCTGAACTTGGATAAAGGTCTGGATCCAAAATCACCATTCAGGTCAAGATTTTTCCTGGAGTCACTTTAGGTATCCCATCCTCAGGCTGTGTCCAGAAATGCTCCTACAAAGAGGAAAAGCCTGCAAGAGGCCGTTAAGTCAATGCCGATTCCCAGTTTAATCATGAGAAGTTCTCCATGAGCAGGGACGGTGTTTGGACTCAGCCTTGGATGATCTCCAGTAGCAAGATCTCCAAACTGGAGATGGCCAAACTGTGCCCCATTGCCAGAATGGATGTGGTTTTTTGTTATACGAACGTTGCAGAGAAAAAACAAACAAAATTGATTGCGAAACTCCTTCTCACCCACTGGAATCGACCTGCTTATGAAAGGACGTGGTCAGATGCTAGTTAGCTCCTGATGGATGGTTTAATTATTTATCAGAAGGAGATGGGGATGCTGAAAAACAAAGCCAGGTAATTTCTAATCAATACGAGACTCTGATTCATCAGTGTGGGCTCAGGAGAAACGGAGGGAAACGGACTGGATCTCTCCCAATTATAGGAAAGTATGGCACAGAAAGTCTGTAGAAACAGAAAGAAAAGAATCCTGGACTGGTTCAATTGCAAGCTGAACCCATTAGCAGGAAAAGACCATTTTTATCTGGGAGGGACCTGGGCAGCACATCATCCCAGCTGAAAACTAGAGAAAATGCAGCACCGCTCAGGTGGAAATTTTGCTGAGGGGCTTTTCCA